TTCCCCCCCCCCCCCCCCCCCGGCATTGCAGGTGTGCACGGGGCAGCTGCCAGCCGCGCTGGCGGCACTCGCCAGCTCAGCAGACGCCGACTTTGCAGCGAGCGGCAGCGTGGGCAGCAGCGCCAAGAGGTGCGGGCTGGTGGCTGTTTGCGGTCATGGCTGCTGCCGCCTGCCGTGCCTGTTGTGCCAGCAGGACCCTCTGTCCCGCCCTTGCTGCTGCTCACAGTCGTGCTGCTGCCTGCTGCCCTGCACCCACGTCTCTGGCCTGCTGCAGCATGGCGCTGCTGGTGCGCTGGCTGCTGCTGTGTGCGGGCAAGCTGTGTGAGAACTCTCCAGAGATCACGTCCATGGCGCTGAGGGAGCAGGTGCGTGCTGCCGTGCTTCGTGCGTGTTGCCTTTTTTTGGTTCGGTGGTTGTGGCATGCGTCGCTGGGGTGGCTGGTAGATTGGAAGAGGGCAGGCGGTTTGTGATGCAGGCAAGGAATGTTTTGGATGGTGCTGGTGCTGGCAGCAGGTTCCATGTGTTGCTTGTGCCGCCGCTCGCCTGCTGCCGCAGACACATGAGCTGCTCGCCAAGCTGCTCGGGGCCGACAACCCGGATGTTCGGGCGGCGGCGGTGTTCACGCTGGGCACCTTCATCCAGGCCACAGAGGGCAGCGGCCACGGCGGCGGCCACGGCGGCAGCGGCGGCCTGGCCCCCACCTCGCCCTCCCCCACCGCGCCTGGCGGCGTGGCGGCCAGCTCGGCGGCCAGCGGCGCGGAGGGCGCGGCGGCGGCTGGCGGCGCGGCGGGGCAGGCTGGCGGCGGCGCGGCAGAGGGGCCGCTGCCTGAGGCGGAGCGCCTGGCGCTCGAGCGCGCCATTGCCTGCGCGCTGCTGGAAGTGGTGTACGATGCCAGCCCGCTGGTCAGGTGCGCGCCCCAGCCCCCCTGCCTGGCCGGCCTGTCCTGTCGGGGCCCCTGGCTGGCCCGCCACGCCTGCGCTGCATGTGTATGTCGGCTGTGGTGCCGCCGCCGACCGTGCCGTGCATGCCCTTGTGCCGCGCAGGACGGAGGTTGCGGTGGCGCTGGCGCGTGTGGCGGTGGGCCACTCCCTGCTGTTCCAGGACGCGGTGCACGCCCACCAGCGCACCAGCTCTCGCATCCTGCGCGAGCAGCAGCGCATGCGGGAGCTGCGGCAGCAGCAGGTGGCGTCCACGGCGCCCGCGGCGGCAGGCGTGGCGCGCAGCGCGCCGACGGGCGGCGGCGGCGGCGTGGCCGCGGGCAGCGGCGGCCGCGCGGGCAGCGTGGGCATCGGCGGCGGCGGCGTGCCTCGGCCCCAGGCCTCCGCCTCGGCGGCCACCGGCAAGGCCGTGCTGCAGCAGCAGCAGGCGGTGGGCACGGCGCCCGCAGCAGCCCAGGTGTGCTCCTTGCGGGGGCTGGGACAGGCACTGAGTGGTCACGTCCAGGCCTGGGGCCCGTAGCATGATACCCTCCACACCAGCCTGTGCGCCTGCCCATACTGCCAACCCAGCATGCTCCAGCACACCCCCTACCATCTAGCCCCTCCTCTGCCCTGCCCGCAGGACCGGCAGCGAGACATGGGCAGCCCTCCGGGCGGCACCAGCGCCTCCCCGGGCGTGCGGCTGCGAGAGGATCTGTCGTATGAGCCCATGCTGCATGTGGGCCTGGACCACGGCAGCCTAGGTGGGTGCCAACCAACCTGTAGGCCAGGGCACCGCTTGCCCGGACGCTGCTCGCAACGTGCCATGCCATGGCACCCGCCCGGAGCGCCGCTGTGTCGCACGGGCGCAGCATGCGTGGCTGCCTGCTGCTTTGGGCGGCGCAGCTGAGCCTTTCCCTCGCCAACCACGCCCGCTGCGTCCGCCCCTGCCATCCCCCGCAGGCGGCGTGTATGCGTCGGCGGATGCGGCGCGGGTGGGCGGCGGCCTGTACCAGGCTCTGGTGGAGGCGCTGTGCACGCTGGCCACCGACCCCTCGCCCAAGGTGGGTCCGGGTGGACCCCTGCATGTGCCACTGCCAGGGGGGCAGCAAAGACGGAGGTTGCTGGTGCATGGGGTGGGGCAATCGTTGCCCGCTGGAAACGCCGCCTGCGTGCGGCCAGCGTTTCTGGCGGGCACGGCAACGTGTGTGCCCGGCTGCGCTGCCCCGCCCCCAACGCAGGTGGCCGCTGCAGGGCTGGCGGCGCTGCGTGCGGCCAATGTGGAGCTGGTGCCGGTGCCAGCGGTAGCAGCGGCGGCGGGGCTGGCGGGCAGCAGGGGCACCTCGCCGGCCACCAGTCGCGCCGGCTCGCTCGGCAGCGTCGCGGCGCTGCCGTTCAGCACCCCTGGTGCGGCCGGTGGCGGCGGCGCCAACCTCGCGGGCTCCAGGTATGGGGTGGGCAGTGGCTGGGTGCTGCCCTCCCGCACTGAGTCTGGCTGTGCGGGTGTGCACCCATGCAGCAGCTTGGTACCTGCCGCATGCCCTGTGCATTCCTGAGCCTGCTCACCCGCTGATGCGCTTGCTTTGGCCCACCTGCCCGCAGCAGCGGCGTCAGCAGCATGCTGCCCAAGTCGTGGCAGCCTAAGAGCTGGCGCGGCGCCAGCAGCAGAAGCGACAGCGGCGCAGCAGCCGGCGTCGGTTCTGTCGGCGCCGCTGGCGGCAATGGGCGGCAGCTGTCGTCCTCGCAGTCGCTGGCGCCGGCAGGCAGCAGCATGGCCAGTATCGGGGGCAGCGGGGGCGGCAGCAGCACGGGGGGGAGCCCCAACCCTTCCCCCGGCAGCGGCGGCACCTACACCCGCATGCCGTATGTGCTGCGCCGGGTGAGCCGGCCAGCCGGCGGGGCAGCCGCATGCCACTGACGCTCCCCGCCAGCAATCCCTGGCCTGCTCTGAGCGCCTTGCCCCCTCTGTGCCTCGCTGCTGACCGCGTTGCCCCATGCGCCGCCTGCAGGCCCCAGATGTGGGCGACTCGGTGCACCTGCAGAGGACCTTCTCCAAGGAGTCAGGTGCTGCCTGGCGGCGCTGCGGGCCCCGCCTGGCAGCGCTGCAACCCTGCTCTGCACCAGCTGATGGCGAACGCGCATGCAGGCCCCTCTCTTCTCTGACCGGCTGCGCCCGTGCCCCCGCCTCGCCCTGTGCAGCGTACGACCCCAGCCGGCCGCTGTCGGCCCAGGGCAGCACGGGCTCGCTGGATGCCTCGCCCTCGGCCTTTGCCGCCGCCACGGCCGCCGCCGGCGCCGCGGCGCTGCTGCCGCCCAGCGCCATCTACGCCAGCAGCTGCCGCGCCTTCACCTGGCCGCTGCTGGCGCCGCAGAGCCAGGTGCAGGGGGGCAGGGGAGTGTGGTGAGGGGGCGCGGCGGCCGCACACAGCGCTGCCTTCGAACCTGGCCCCAGCGCTTGGCTGGCGCCTGGCGCTCGCTGCCTGCCCCTCTGTGCCACCTAATCGCGCCATGCTGGTGCGTGGTGCTGCGCATGTGTGTGCAGGAGGAGCCGGGCCCCTCATACGCCACCTGGCTGCTGCCGCCTGAGGAGGCCAAGGTGGAGCTGCGCAGGCAGCACGTGAGTGGGCTGCGTGTGTATGTGGCGGCAGTGTGGTGTGGGTAGGGTGTGGTGGGAATTTAGGCCGCATGAATGGGAGAGGGAAGGCATGCCTATGTGCGCGTATGCCAGGCCAAGGAAGCGTATGTGTGCGTGTGGCGCGCTGGCATGCGCACCTTGCCTTGCCCTCCTCGACTCCTGCCCCTCTCTTGCGGCTCCCCGGCCCTCCCCTCTTCCGCCCGCAGCGCCAGGACGAGCTGCTGCGGGCGCGTGCCGTGGGCCAGCTCAGCAAGTGCCGCCTGCGCGACCACGTGATGACGGTCAACACGGGTGGGGCGCCACCGCCCCCCTGCCCGCCCACTCGCTGGCCGAGCGCAAACATGGCTGCCTGCCGCGCTGGGTTTGGAGGGGCACGCTTGGCGTGGATTGGCGGCCGCTGGCTTTCTGGCTGCCCTGGCCGACCCCAGCACGCACCCTGCACCAACCTCCCTTCCCCTCGCAGAGACGGAGCACACCACGGCGGTTCTGCTGGAGCCGCTGCGCCCCTTCCTGGTCACCGCCGACAGCGAGGGCGTGCTGCGGGTCAGCAACTACCGGTCGGGCGCCTGCGCCAACCGCTTCCACGCCTCCACCGGCGCCCCCGCGGCCGCCGGCGGCAGCGCGTACGCGCGCGCCGCGGGCGCGCAGCAGACTGTGGGGGTGCGGGCGCTGTACCAGGTGGGTGGCCGGCGGTGGGTGTGCAAGTGAGTGGATAGTGGCTGGCTGCTGAAGGGGGCACACCGTTTGTTGTGCCTGGCGGTCGCATTCGCCAAGCCAGCTGGCAGCTGGCTTGGCGCCGGCGGTGGCACAGCCTCACCGCCGGACTCCCCTCCCCCGCCACGCCTGCCCTGCCCCTCCCCTCCTTCAGCTCAACGAGCTGCACAACGGGCTGCTGATGGCGTGCGCCGCCGACGGCTCGGTGCGGGTGTGGCGCAACTACGCGGTCCGCGGCCAGCAGCGCCTGGCCACCGCCTGGCAGGTGAGGGGGGCGGGGCGGGGAGGCGATGAACCGGCAGAGGCGGGCAGGGAGGGCAGGAGTGGGGGGCCACGGCCGCGGCAGCGGCACCGCTGCCTGCCTGGTCCTGCCTTCCTGGGCGGTGCCACACTCAGGCTGGCCCTTTCCCCAACCCCAGCTGGCTGCCCTGCCCCCTTCCCCTCCCCGCAGTCTGTGCTGGTGGCGGCGGCGGGCAGCCCCACGCGCCCCGCCGTGTACCACTGGAGCCCCGGCTACTCGGCGCTGTTTGCGGCGGGCGGCAGGAGCGCGGGTGCGACCCGCTGCCGGCAAAACTGGCCCCGCCTTGGTCGCGGGCAGGCGGGGGATGAGGGGTCACCTGCCTTTGCCTGCCTTTGCCTGTCTCTGGCCCCACCCAACCCGCCCTCTGCCATGTTGGTGCGTGCCCCTCATTGCCTGCCCGTTGCAACAGCCTGCCCTTGTGCCGCCGTCCCGCCACCCTCCCGCCTGCCGCCGGCTCCCCGCCGCGCCTGCTGCCTGCTCCCCGCAGAGCGGATCTACATGTGGGACCTAGAGAGGGAGAACTGCATCGCGCAGCTCAACCTGCCGGGCGGCGGCGGCAACGGCGACGCGGCGGCCGCCCCCGCGGTGGAGCACATCGCCGCCTCCTGCTGCAGCCCGCTGCTCTACGCGGCAGACGGCACCGGCATGGGTGCGGCCTGCTGGGCGGCCCCCTTCTGCCTGCCGGCCCCCACCTGCTGGTTGCCTGCCTCCGCCCGCTGCCCGCAACAGCCGCGTGCTCACTGCCTGCCACAGCCCGTGCTCACTGCCTGCTGCGCTGTGCCTGCCTGCGCCCCGCAGTGCGCATCTTTGACCTGCGCTCCAGCGAGCTGGTGGGCAGCGTGCAGCACATCCGCAGCCGGCTGGCGGGCATGGTGGCGGAGCCGGGGCGCACCCCGCACCACCTGGTGCTGGGCTACCCGGGGGCGCAGCTGGCCTTCCTGGACTGCCGCATGGTCAGGTGGGCGCAGGCCTGGGGGCCAGGGTGGGCGGCGGGGGCAGCTGCTGGAGGGTTGGCACCTGGGCTGAGGGTGGCGGGTGGGATTCGTGGGAGTGGTTGGGCTGGGTGGTTGGGGCAGGGGCAGGTGGAGTGCTGCCACGCGCCTCTGTGCTGTGCACCAGAAGCGTGCCTCTTGCCAATGGCAAAGCTCCCCCGTGCCCCGGCCCCCGCCTGCCTGCAGCAGCGATGCCAGCAGCAGCGGCGGGGCGGCGGCCGGCGGCACGGCGCCGCCGGCGAGGCGGCTGGAGGTGGGGGTGTGGAAGACGGTTGAGGCCCACAGCAAGGGGCAGATGACGGCGCTGGCGGCGCACCCCAGCGCGCCGCTGCTGGCCACAGCCACCAACAACCAGGTGCGGGGCGAACGGCGGTGTGGTGGGCGCGGGGCACCGCGGTGGGGCGGCGGTGGTGGGTGTGATGCGGGGAGGCGAGGGGAGAGGGCAGCCCAGTCGTCGAGCTTGCGGCGATGGCGCGCTGGCTTTGTGCCCTCCGCCGCTGCTGCTGCAGGTCGTCAAGGTGTGGAGCAGCAGCGGGGAGCAGGTGGGCGTGGTGCGCGCCCACTCCTCCTTCCTGGCCACACACCGCATCGGCCCCGTCACCTGCCTCACCTTTGCGCCCTACGAGCTGCTGCTGGCCTCAGGCAAGTGCGGCGGCGGGCGGCTCAGCGGCAGGCTTGGCTGCTCAGGAGCAGCCAGGGATTGGCAGCAGCAGGAAAGCTATCCCTGCTGGCCCCTGGCCCTGGCTGTAGGGGCTGCCACTGATTTGCTGACCCGCCGGCAGCACTGCTGCCCCGCGGCCCTGTGCAGGCAGCGCCGACCCGGTGGTGGCTGTGTATGGCCTGGACACAGCCCCCTCCCTGCCCGTCTCCCCCGCCCGACCGCCGCTGCCCTCCGTGACGCCGCCGCCGCCGCCGGCTGCGCAGTATGCGGGCATGTAGGCGGAGTTGGTCTCCCGCCTGCCAAATACCTGCTGGCACTTCGGTTTTAGCTGGCAGCGCTGCCGGCTACTGTTATCCTGCCTCGTCTATGTTGCTTGCTGCCAGCCCGCTGCGTTTATTATTCGTCAGCCATCTGTCCCCCGCACTTACCTGGCCATGCTTCTCTTGTTGTCTGTGCTCCACTCCTGCGATGCCCCTTCCACTATCCCTCTCGCCTCGATCCCCTTCTCCTGTTGCCGATGCAGCTGACACTAGCCCTGGTGGCGTGACCCTTTTTGTGCATGCATGCCACTAGGACCCGCCTGCCGAAACACCTCGTTAAATGCGACACACACCACCCAGCAAGGCTGTCTGTCGAGCAGAAGTGCACGGGGCTTGGTGCCGGCGGCGGCGGGCGGTGGCGGCGGTGGTGGTGCAGCAGGCCTTCGGCATCAGGCAATTGGTGCTACTGTTGGCCTCCCCGTCACGCCTATGACTTGTTCGCATCGTGCATGGCTTCAGCAGGAGAGAAAGGCGTGTGCTTACTCCTGTATTGGAATGACTGCATGGGCCAGGGCTGCAGGGTCACGTCGCCTCCAATTCGCACACATTTTTCTCCTGCAACCTGCCCGCGTTCCATCCACCTCTCCCTGCTCCCAATTGGCCGCTGGATCGGCTCCAGAACCCCACCCCGTGACGCAACGCGCGCCATGATGAACAATACCCGCAAGCTCACGGCCGCTGCCATGCTCTCTGGGGCTCTCCTGTTCCTGGTGTGTGTTGCGGGGGGGTGGGGGAAGGTATGGGGGGCTGCACCGTGGGAGGCCCGGCCGTGGTCATGCAGACGTGCGACGTGTGGGGCCCAATGTTGCCGTGAGAGGGGGTATCTTCGCCTCCCCCCTGGCCAGTTGCCATTGGGAGGTCTGTTACCGGTCCTGCACGCCCTGCCGGCCCGTCCTGCCTGCAGGCCCTGTCGGCCCACACCCCGGCGCCAGCTGGCGCGAGGGACATCGTTGCCGCCATCCCTGGCAGGTGAGGGGGAGGCCGCTTGTGGTGCCTTACGGAGTTCCTTGAGCCTGCCTATGCATATGCTGGTCTGCTGCTCTCTGCCCTTCTGTTGCCTGCTGCTTGATTTGACCACACAGCGCCCCCGCCCCCCCCAACACGCAGGAAGCTGCTGCAGGATGACCCGTCCAGCGGCCCTGTGAAAATGGGCACCAGGGTTAACCTTTTTGAGGGAATGGCTAACTTGGTCACTGATGCCCTCACCGAGCTGGGTTCCGGCTGCATCTACGGCAACTGGTGTGGCAGTGGCTGCACCGGCATCGGCGGCGACCCCATCGATGATTTGGACGCCGCCTGCATGGCCCACGACGAGTGCCTGGCCTCCTCCGACCCATTCATCACTCAGTATGCCAGCGCCTACACTTGCGACTTGCCGCCCAGCAGCAACGTCAACTGCAACTGCGATGCCGCCCTTCGGGACACAGCCAAACAGGTGACTGGGGAGGCGCCCCGGCCCTCCACACACACCACCAATGGCACAGCTTGCCGCCAGCATGCGCAGCGCCACCCTGCTGCCGGCAGCCTGCTGAGTACCAGGAGCATCGGGAGTTGAGCCACAAAGCTGATCACACGGGCGGTGCTGTTCGCCCACTGACCCGCCCTCCTGCACCCGCAGATTTTCAGCGACGAGTCGGCCTGCTCCTGGTACGACATCTTCTGCGGCGAGTCTGTCCGTGTGCTGGGCGCCCAGAGCATTGGCAGCGCAATGGAGTACAAGACTGACTGTGGCCAGTGCTCCTCCGACGGTTATCCTCCCGACTTTGTGCCGTACTCCGAGGAGGACACCGCCACCGGCGACACCCCAACCGACGACGGCGACTCCACCCCCGCCTGCGGTGCCGCCACCCAAAGCGACACAGACTTCCAGGGTGGCGACCTGGCCTCCGACAGCTACGTGGGCACCGAAACCGTGGACCAATGCTGCCAGGCGTGCTTCGCGGAGGACGCCTGCTACGCGTTCACCTGGTCTCCTGGCAATGATGCCTGTGGGGGCAGCGCTTGTTGCTTCCTCAAGGGCAGCCAGGACGAGACCGGCTGGGAGGCAGTGCCCTCGGCAGGCGCCATCTCTGGCTCCTGGGATTGACCGGGGCTGGAGTGACAAGTGGCTACCGCCCTCAACGCCCGCCGCTGGGCCGCGGCAGCCAAAGCAAGCGGGACACCGCATCAATCAGCGGGTGTTCCCAGCAGATTCATGTCCATTCCCAGCTGTTGCTATTTACGAATGCTCTGCACGTTTTACTTCATCAAGCTACCGCCGCGCCCTGCTTCCGGTGCCACCTCCTTTGGCCATTGGCCAAAGCTTCTCCCCCCTCCTTGGCCCCGCCCTGCCCAGGACCATTCTTCTGATCAGAGTTCACCACTGCAAATGCTACTAGCAGTGCTGCAATTTGTTTTTTGATTGCTGGCCAGACTAGCTTGTCCGACAGAGTCTGCTCATTGCTGGCACAGCTTGCCAAGCTGCCACAATGCTCACTGCCGCCCTTTGCCTGCTGGTATCTCCAGGCTCTGTTGTTTAACCCCCAACCATCCAAGTGCGCTGTAGTAAATAAAACGCACAATGTGCAATGCAGCGGTCGAGCAACGGTCTGGCCGAGGTGGTGGGAGCTGCCATGCAACTGACCGCGGCGGCGGCGCAGTCTGGGTTTGGCGTTGGCAGTGCCCGATCATCTGGACCAAGTGCTGCAATGCTAGTGCACAATTGAATGACTGCTTTACTCTGCACTGGAGAGCATCATGCATCTGCACACTGCATTTGAGACTAGACAGCTGACTGGCAGCGTGTACCGCCACGTTGCCAGCAGGGCGGCGGGGGGAGGAAAGGCCAGCCTGAGGTGAGTGAAGGCGTCTCCGTGGGAGCGGTAAGCCACTCTGCGCTGGCCTACTCTCCATGGACGCGTTGCAAGCCTCGAGGGAGAGCTGCAGCTGATTGCAGGGCCCGACAGACATGCCCCGGCCATGCACCAAGCTCAAAGATTGGCGGCAGCGATGCTGGCCACTGTAATGCTCCTAGTTGTGGTGGGTGCATCCCCCGCAGGAAGCCGTGCTGTTTCTCCGCCTCCACGCCACCAGGCTGAAACCCAAGCTCGGCCGGCCTCCTGCGTTCGCCCATGTCATTTGAGGGCTTGCGATAAAGCCAGGATGCGGTGTACCGCTTGCAGGCGCTCTCCGCGAGAAGGCCATCCCGCTGGCGGCACGCCGCCGCCGCCGCCACGCCCGCTGGCCGGCGATTGCTAGGGGATGCAGCCAAGTCGGAGGTGCAGGCTACGCTGCCAGCCTCGTTCCTGCCCAAGCAGCAGGGCAGCACCGCAGCAGCAGCAGGCACAGTGCAGATGCGAGTGATAGAGGGCGATCCTGCCGCAGTGGACGACTATCCGTTTGTGGTGGCTCTGCTTGCAAATGGAGGCTTGCTTTGTGGGGGCACATTGCTGGATGCTACCAGCGTGCTAACGGGTGAGTGACGGAGGCCTGTGCTGTGCTGCCGCTCGCGTCACACTGTGGCCCCCGCGCCCGGCTGTCAACTCGCTCGACTGGCCTGCTCTGTGCCCTGGCTGCCTGCTCGCAGCTGCGCACTGTTTGGTCGACTCTGGGTTGGTGGACAGCCTCACGGTCTGGCGCTCCGATGGCAGGGAGTTTGAGGTGGCGGCAATCATCCCCCACTCAGGTGTGGAGAGACACGTGGCGGGGAGCCAGGCACCAGCCCATCTGCTCCATGTGTTGCCCGCTGATGTGGCACCTCCCCCGATTCGTCTGGCTCATCAGGCACGCTCTCTCCCGCGATCCCTCCCTTTCCTTCGCCTTTCAGAGTCTCTAAGGCTTCTATTTCTCCCCTCCCGCACCCCGCAGCTGCCGCAAATTTAAAATTATGAACCAACCTGTCATCCTTTATGCCTTAGAACGGCGCCAAAACGGCGCCAAGAATGTGTTTCTCACTAAGTCAGATGTAGAGGGCATCATCCGGATCAAGCAGGGCGACCAGCAGGCGCCCTCAGGCCGGCGGCGGCGGGGTGCGGGAGGGGGGGCGGCAGTGCAGGGCGGCACCAAGAACTACAGCAAGAAGGTGCTGCAGTTCTTCCAGGTGCTGAAGGGCGCTGGCGGTCAGGACATCCTGTGCCGCTGCGTCAAGCGCAGCGGAGAGTGGCGGTGGTGCCCCGTGGTGCCGCTCGAGGAGCTGCCCCGAGTGATCAAGGAGCACCACGAGCGGGCGACTGGCTTCAGCGGTGTGGAGAAGCTGTACA